GATTCTCATCAAGCAATTCTTGCAGCTCGACATCTTCAAATTTTTTCGGCTGTCCTGGACGTTCTTTGTCTCTCACATCAAAATCACCGTTTCGGAAGGTTCAAACCAAACTTTACATGTTCTTTCCGATGGAGTTTCATCACCATACACTTCGGATAATAAACGATGCGCTTCAGCTACGGTTTTCTTGAGGTTGAAGAAGCACATGTTGGAAAAACAACTTATCGCGATTAATTTTCAATCGATTGGAAAATCTCTTTGACGTCGAGAAATCTAACCTGTGAGGATTGAATCACTTTCAGCGATGTTCTAAACTACAAAAGACATGTGACTTCATCGTCGAAACTCGCCAGCGTTGGAGCCAGCACCCTCTAGTAGCGAGCGATAGGAATTAAGTTTAACACCTAATATTTCATATAGATATATATTTTTTTATTTTTCATATAGAAACTATGGTACAAAAACAAATTACGTATTTTATGATTAAAATAACTATTTTATTTGTATTAATACTATAATTACTATTATTTCTCAAAATATAGAACTAATATTAAAATAAAAATTGTGTTTTTTATATGTGTTGTCCATAACAAATATGCTACTGCCACTCCTAGAACGTGTGACAATCAACTCAGAACATGGGGTTAATTGTCCTATTTTCGCAGCATTATTTAAAATTAAATAACTTATTTTTATGATATGATGAATTCACGAGTAATATTTTTTTTAATACCTAAAGGATGTAGGTATATTGTAACGTATATAATATTTCAAAATCAGGCATCCACTTTTCTAAAAATCAATAATCAAAAACTGTGACAATCGGCCCCGGTCTCACATATATAATTAGTATATGTATATTCCCCCCGAGGGTTAATGACAGTTGAAATCTTAATATGAAAATCTTAATACGAAAACATTGAGGTCACGATAATTTTCGAGTTATAAACGATCGAAGTTGGCTAATGATATCACGTATAAAGTTTGCAAGTGAGGTCCATAACTGCTCTTACAGACGTATGATTTACCATTTATAAATTCATCATTCATTTCTACACCTCAAAAAACTTTTCTTTCTTACGTTCATATATTATGTACTCTATAGCAA